CCTTTTTCAAAACAACAAATATCTTAAACAGCAAATTGATGACTTTGAAGGATCAGGAATAAGTAGAATTCAAGTAAGTTTTTATAAAAATTATTTTGTTAAGTCTTGTCATTCAATACTCCAGTTCGAGTTCTCCGTTGCTCAGTGTTAGCATCGATTGGGCATAAAATATTCAGCTCTGAGAGCATAAACTCTGAAATTCTAAAGCAATTCCTCAGTTATGAGACATTATTATAATTTGGTCATTAGAGGGTTTTTAAGATACAAAATCCAATATTTTTGAGCAGATTTCTAACTAAATGAGAGTTTACTTTACTCACCTTTTCACAGGCATCCTCAATCTTGAATTCTAGACTATAATATTCATGTTTTGGCGCGAAAATATGTATTAGCCCTAGAAAAGGCTCGCGGCTCGCATATCAGAGACTCGGGCTCGCAGACTCGCAATTTATCAGCCCCCGTCTTTTCAATTCACATCCAACCACGATTAAAGTGAAAGCCTGTACCAGGAAAATCACCAAATACTCACTGTAATCCAAAAACAGGGTTTATTTGTTTTTCGTTTCTATCCATTTTCTAGTTTATTTTTTTGGTGTTTTTATAACTATATCTGTCTGTCTGTCTAGAGCAAGTATAGGTAATGAAGGATTATTTATGTATGTACTGCTCGTTTGAACAGAATTTATCTGGAATACTAAATGTCGAGAACGGATTTCAGAAATTTAATTGCTTCTAAAAGTTTATCATAATTTTAAACGTGTCTGTACGTATATATATCGTAAAGAATAGAATTAGTGGCTTTGCATGATGAGTAACAATCAGATCAAATTACATTTCATATATCGGTAGCCAACAAACCAATAGCATGATCATTATTTACTATCATTCTTATCTTGCTTAACTATAGGTGCTCCTAAGATAGTAGCTCCTTATCCAGATAATCTGTACGCTATTGAAAATGAGAAGACACAAGTTACCTGCGTAGTGGAAGAGACAGTTTCCAATCCAGATGAGATAATATTTGTGAGGAAGAGTCGTTTTGGTGACGTTGAACCCATAAGAGATGAAGGACCTGATGGACGCATCTATTATCAAAATGAAACCTTGGGTTAGTGTTATTAATGAAAGCTGTCACGTCAAGAAATGTAACATCACACTGTTACATCACGCAAGAGTAACACCGTGCACCATACCACACTGTTGTTACATCACACGAGAGTAACACAACACCACACTGTGGTTACATCACGCGAGAGTAACACCACACCGCACTGTGGTTACGTCGAGCATCGCTAACACCACACTGTGGTTATATCACGCAAAACTAAAAAAGGTGCGCAACACTGTTGCATCGGAAAATGCAGAGCAGATTTTGCTCGTATTCCCACTCCGCGTGCAACATATTTTCATTGGTGCGCTAAGTAGATATTCTTTACTCAATAATATTTTGTTGTACACAACAGTGTGGCACGAATAGTTGCGCGATTTTGTTGCCCTAGACCACACTGCAATTTGATGAACCAGTACCACGAGCAAGGGAGTAATCATAGTCTTGTCCTTTATTTACACAACAGTTGATAGACATAAAAGTACTGAGCAAAGAGTGGATTGTAATAATAATAATCATCTTTATTGTGTGAACTAATAAAGCAGTGAGCTTATTTCCAATTAGGCCCATATAAAAATTACATGTAAAAATTACATATTATATAAATATACAATAAAAATTTTACAAATTTATTCAAAAAAGTTTATTCTAATCTATACATATTTTAGCT